TAACAGCATACACACGCACTTTCTACTGTAATTTACCATACCCCATTTCTTTGTGTACATTGATGCAGTTGCAGTTTTTAAAAATATCACTGAAAGACATCCTGGTTCCCAGAATAATAATTCTCTGATGTTACAAAATATAGCTTAGTTATATATGATTATTTTTGTGAAACCAGACCCTTAAGTTCTAGGGAGAACGAAGAGTTCTTGAAATTAATCTTGAAGTCCCAGAAGGTCTGGGACTTACCCTTGAAGCTGTTCAATTCAAAATAATTATAATTGTTAAATAAAAGACCCTGTAAAGAATAATGTTTATTCCTCTAAGCCTCTACTGAAAGAATGTATAAGCACTCTTTGAAAGTTTAATCATTGAGTAACCTTTTAAAGGGATGAGGGGGAGGCGCATGGCACACAGACTTCTTGTGAAGGTTGTATGTTTGTGGTTCATCCACATCTGGCGAGCTGCATGTTTTTTTCTATGGAAGCCTGTTATTGGAATAGAAGGATTTGGAAAAAAACCCACAACAAACCTAACAACAGAAAACAAACACATCTGTGCAGTCAAGTGAGCAAAAGATGTGCTTTCTCGTGCTGCCAACAGGTCCACTGGCGTTGAGATTCTTCTGGTTTGGCATAAAAGTTGTGGAGGCATCACGCAGTGAGGATCAGCTGAAGTCAGGGTAGGCATTCAGGAGGAGCTGCATCATTCCCCTCATTGCAGACAGCAGCTTCTTTGGCTTAGGTACCCCAGAGACTGAAGGAGTGGCAGAGCTGCTGCTTCTTACCTTGAATTATGATATACTTGAGTAGGTGCCTGCATGTCTTCTTTCTCCATGCTAGGTGTCATTCTTGTGGGAGTCTGGATAAATATTTCAGTCTGTAGGAGTTCAGGAGAGCTAGGTATCACCTAGCAACAAGCATCCCACTCTCTGCCTCCTGCTTCTCTTTTATTAAAATACCAGTGAAAACCAGAAGTTGAAGCATTACGTTCATTTTCAGAAATATTTTGAACAGCTGAAGATATTTTTGTTATGACACTACGTCAGAGTAACACAGATGTTGGCGGGAGGACTGTCATCTTAAAGCAAGTAGCTTCTCTTCCCTTGTTTGAACAGAAATAAAAACCAGCAAAATCTTCAGCTGAGAACAAAATAAACCTGTGATCACAGTTGTTTAGTGAGTGACAGAATGTGTAGCAGGTGCTCCTTTGGTCTTGTGAGGTCTATAAGATATATAGCAGTTGCACTTCACCTAAATAGAATGTGTTTTAAATTGTATTACCTGGTTCATCTTGCAGCTTGTAACGGCTGCTGGAGGCACAGCGGCTTGGGTTGGAATTGAAAGTTTTAAACTTTTTTATAGACAACTTTGTGGCAAAGTGTTTTGGGTAGTCTCGGTTACAATAATACAGCAGTGAGTTTACAAAAAAGGAATAGTTGTAGGCACTCATAGTGCAATTTCAGCCTCTCTTGTCCCCTTTTCAGTTTTGAGGACTTGCAAATCTGAAGCTTGTGTTTAATATGTATTTTATTTGTAGCTTCTGCAGAATGTCTTCTTTATGGAACATACTGATTTCTCGGCAGGAATCAGAATCATAGGGAAAAAGGGCAACTATCTGGCTACTTGTAACGTAAAGGCAGCTGTCTTCAACGCTGTGTTGAAGATAAGCTGTGTTCTTTCAGCTCTGAACGCCGCTTGAAGCAGTGATCCTGCTTTACCTGATGTTCAGGGTGGCCTACATGAGTTAGGGAGGAGTGGCTCTCCATCTTTGGGGAAGTTTGGTGTGACTCAGGGCTTTTGATAAGGATTGCAGAAGTGTAAGTGAGACTTACAGGCTTTCAAGTAGAAAAGCGTATACTTTAAAAGTAAAATCAATTATGCAAAAAAGAAGATTAAGAAATATGGTTATGCCCTGATAGGGGGTTTATTCTGTAGAGGAAAAAGTTAATAAATACTGATTAGCAAATGATCTAACTTCGTGACTTGAGTTGGTCTTTTCCAAATGTATGTTACCCCAGCTATCCAAATTAGAAAAGGGATAAAATAACACAAGGAATGATTTGCAACTGTATTAATGGGAATTTACTTAAAAGTTAGCAATATAGAAAAGGTATGAGGAAGTGATACCAGTATGAACTTATTTTTTAATTAATTAATGAGAGTTTAAATGTTCAGAAGTGTTGCTTGTGGAGACAAGGGCACCTCTACACACATAGTGGCGCCTCTGCCTAGAAATGAGCTCAGCATGATTGTCCTGAAATTTACCTTATGTTCCTAACTGTGACCCATGATTCCTGCTCTGCTCCACTGGTCTATGGGGATGCTGCGTAGGGTGGTACTACTAGGGCATTTATTCTGAATAAGAGGTGTTTTCCAAAATTGATTAGGTGTTGTAATTTCTGTTTTTCTCTTGCCATGGCAGAAGGAATCTATTGTTTGATGGCATTCACATAAGCTTTATAAACTCCTAGAGTCTGAAAATACGATTTTAAGTTGAAGGTTAGGTTTTGACTGGAAGTGGACATTGTTTACTACTGAAATCTCTTTGTTTTGGTTAAAAATAGTGGTTTAAGTGCTTTGCTCTGTGGTTACTTGGAGATCTCTTTTAGCATAAGGTTTTGAATCAAGAATGTTGTACAGTTGTCAAAAATAAATATGTTTCTGTTTGGACTTTCCTGTATTTTTTTTGGATTTCTGATAGGAGAAACTGAGATTTTACAGGTAAACTGCTAAAGACTGAAGTCTGGAGCACCTTTCACAGTGATGACACATGGCAGAATGGTTGTGTTAGATTTGTAAGGACAATTCACATTTTTCTTACGAATTTCTAAGTAAGTTCATCTGAAACTAAAGCTTTTCAGCTCTTCTGAAAATCAGGCAACAGGTTTATGGAGTTACAAGTTAGATAGCCACTTCCAGATGAATAGTTTGCTCTTCATCTTCTTGCCTAAAGCAGCCTAAAATAGTCATGGTGAAGGGGCCTGTGCCCTGTCCTTAAGTGACATTTGTCACAACTGTATATTGCCCACCAACACTGATGCTCTTGGTCACCCCGGTGGTCAGTTATAGGGGATAACACCTATCCTACTTCCACACCCCATGTATGGTGGTAGAGAAGCCTTGTGGGACAGTGACACTGCCAGAGGTTGTGGTATATAGTTTGTGCTTGGTAAAGAGAAGACAAGCAGAAAGCCTTCCATGGAGGAGAGAACCCCAATGATGGAAGGCCATGGGCCATTCGGTGCATGATTAATAGTGCAGACCTGAGGAGAATTGATAAGCAAATCCACTTATTTGTCTTCGCTTAACCAAGTAGCTTCTTCATGAGGTGGGCCACTGTATGTGATCTAACAACACACAACCAGCTGCAGCCATGGCTAGTTGGATAGCAGCATGTTAGCAGTTTTGAAACACAGACCCATGTTTGATCTGTCACCATAGTCACCGTAACCTAATAGGACTTTATGGTTCATGTGTAACTTGAAGCTGAGTTTGTAGGAAGAGTGTGCGTGTCTGAGTGCATGTAGGGAGGAGTAATAATGAGAAAACCTGAATAACTGGAAACAATTACAGGTCAAACTCTGCCTTCCTCTGACAGAGAACCCATGAAGCTTTTGAATACATGACATTTAATTTTAAGTAACTTGATGACTTAAGTTATTTTCTACTCAGGTTAGACAGCCACATCATGCTAGTCTGTGATATAAGAAAACCTGGTCCACTTGTCCCATGTTTTGACATCAGCACAGAGGAAGAGCAGCTAGAAACTCAAAGGTGTTTTTTCAATGTGTAATTTAAGAAAAAAAAAAAATAAAATCTCCTTCATTAAGAAAAAAACTTAAAGCAATCCAAATAATGCCAATGAAGATTAAACAAGAAAAAGGATGTCGTCTACAAGATGCATGGGAGATGGGGAAAATAATCTACAGTAGTTAGTATGCTCTAAGCCCACAGTATTGCATTTAGAAAGGTCAGTGTTTGTGAGGATTTTCCTCCCTGTTACGATTCATAACAGCATTTGGAAAGTTTGGAAAACGATTGGCTGTGAGTGTATAAGGAGCAGTAATAAAATGCTTGTTTGCAGTTCAAAAGTGGGCAGGTGATGTGGGCAGTGCTTTGTGAGGGATGACCTTATTTTGAATGGTAGAAAAATAACAGCAGATTGTTTAAAATTACTCTGACAGCAGATTTAAGGTCTTGACTTCACTCCATTTCCATTATAAAATAAGATTTCCATTATAAAATAAGACGTGTAAGTAGCATTTAATTCCAGATGCACATATTCTGGCAACAGATTTAAGACGTACCACTGTCAGTTATTTTAAGTTTTGGACATCTGAAGCTTCCCCACCCCCCAGTGTTGTTTTTTTTCTGGAGGAGAGGAAACTCTCAAAACTGTAATGTAGTATTTAAATCTCTGTACAGGTTTCTTTTATAGACTCACATGAGAACACAACTAAAAAAGTCGTGTATCCGTAGGAAACCTTTAAAGAAGTATATACTCAGATTTTGTAGTGGTCTTGCAGTTTTTTCCCGTGGCTGGAGTATTGACTGACTTAAGTGATAAATGTATTTTGGCTTTTAATGTGTTATTGTCCAGATCTCACATAGTATTTCTGGGAAACTCACTTTGAAGTACCAGTGAAGAATATCCACACTTGGTAGCTACTGGGAAGTTTCCCTGTACAAATATATAATAGACACTGAAGACTAATTATGCAGTTGGGACTTAATGTGCTCAAGTAGCAGCTGAGAAATTAAAGACACTGAGAGCATTGAGTAAAATAACTAGTTAAGAGGAAACATAAAGCTTTCTCCAATAATACTTTTTGTTGTATCCATCTAGTTTTATTTAAAGAGCTCGTGAGCTTACTGTTCTTCTGACCTCTGTACTATGGAACAGATGTTCATGGTTAGTTGTTTTTTTTTATTTACATGTACAATAATATTTGAGAAATGAATGAACATCTAAGAAAACTTATCAAATTATTTTATCTTTTCTTTCAGGATTGAAGTGGACCTAGGGACGAATGGATGACTGAGTATTCATATGAAGAGGAAAGCCATAAAAGTTGGTTGACATTTTTACAGCCATATGCATTGTGCATATTGCTGCTATTATGAAAAATTGATATTGTGTTACAAAACATAATAGATGAAATAACTGGTTTGAACTTCATATGCTGTATTGTCTTTACACAGCTTTACACAGCTGTAGTTTAATGCAACAATTTCTGACCAAACCTGAATTTCAAAGAAAAACCTAGTATTGTATTAGGGAAATAGGTAATGCCTTTGAAGCCAGGTGTTTGAATGTGCTGGTGGATAGTGGTCTTCATTATTCTCCCTGAACCAAGATGAAGGGTGAATGAGAGAGTTATTGTCTTCCAATACAGCTACTGGCTGTGAAGCTTAATACATTGATGAGTGGCCCTCACACGCCACATTGGCAAATGCCATTATAGAAGTCAAATAGGATATGATATCTTTGAAAGTGTATCTTGGTGCTTTGTTTTCTTACCACAGAGAGATGGCTGTCTTACAGCATACATTTTCTGTACTAGTTAAAAAGAAAGAAGCTGTTAGTGGATCTCTATGCTTTACTGACTTCATGCATTGTAATGTGATAAAATTCACTAGGCCGTGGCATTTGTCAGTCTTGACTTGCTGGTGACTGTGAACTGTTGGCTTTGGCTGGGATGGTACATAAACCAATTCCTGCCAAGGATGTTTAAACAAAGCTGGCTGTACCTGTGGATTTGCACTGGTGCAAATTATAATGATGGGTGCAAGGTGGTGGGATGTTCTACAACAACTCAAGTTATATACGACATTCTAGAAAGTCTTACTAGTCAAGGAAGGATATGTTATGGTGGAAAATGCCTTTCCTAGAGAGCTTTCTTCATACACTGAATCCTAGTCAGGAGTGGGAATAATCAAAAAAGTAGCAGACACTGGCACCCCATCCCCTGCCCCCCCAGGTTTTCCAAAAAGCACAGCGTCAGTTGAATATCAGAAACTTAAATTTGTTGTTCTGTTCATGTGAGCAAAGTAGTTTACTAGGGCAAAGAGTCTTATTTATCTCGATCATTTGGTTATAATTTTATAGTGGTTATATTTGGTTATAATTTTACAGATATTTTAGTGGTTCAGGAGTTTTACAGTTTATCAATGTCTGATTTAGATACTGAAAAGTTTAATTCCTTTTTGAGTGTGCTTTTTTTGAGTATGCTACCCGTTTACAACAGGTAGCTAACATGCTGATCTAGCTGTCTTCAGACTGACAAGCAGCCTAAGAGTTGAGGAAATCATCTATGTCCTTGAATCCAGTATCCAAACATACCAGCCAGCAAAACATTCTGCAATTCAGGAGCATCCATAGAACATCTGCTTTATATACTGCAGGTACCAGAGAACACCTCTAGCTTTCAGGAGCCAGATTTAGACCCTAATCAAATCAGCAAGTGGTATTAATAGCTCAGCAGTAATGTACAGTTTCTCTATGGGATCTTGGACCTATATGTCCACAAAAGAGTCAGCAGTTGTTGCCTGCTAAAACCTGTGCACCAAGTTTTAAGGAGTTTCTCTTTGACTGGACTGCTGATGTCTTGGCAGCTTCTTGTCCATAGCGATGCCTGATAGATCACGAAGGGCTCGTGTTGGGGGAAGCAGCCACTTCCCCACTCAGACCTCCTGGCTATGAATAGCGGAGTGAAAAACTGATACTATCTAAACCTTGCTTGCATCTGCTGGAGCTGCAGTAATAAAATCCTGTATTTACAAGCTCAGGGAGACTCTTTACTAGCAGAAAGTGTGAGAAGGTGTGAAGACCAAACTGCGTATAATATCATTGTGTTACTGCAGACTCCTCATACTGTCCAGAAGACAGCATAGAGCAGTACTATGATAGCATATTAATGTTTTTCATTGAATTGAGGGGAAACTGGGCCAGACTAGAGGACAATCTTAGCTATTTGGCTTGGTAGGTGTTACCAGGGCAAAAAACGTTAAGGATTTGTCAGATCCTTGAGAGGGGCTGTAATTTCTCAGGAAAGACTGTGAGATACAACATTACTACCTTGCGACCTCTGTTCCTGTCTCTGCTTTTGCCTCTGTCGTTCAATGCAGAGTGATGACAGAAGGAAGAAAGAACAGAACAGGGTGACTTCTTGTCAGTTCCACTCTTATCATGTCCTGCTGATGATATCCCAGAGTACTGATGGAGAAGCTGCACAAAATGCATGCAGATAAGGAGATACTGAGTTATTTCTTGACATATTTTCTGTTTATCAGTCTTTGCAAATATAGAGCTCTGAATCAGCTGTTAATCTTTTGCATTAGGAAAGCACCATGATTAACTTACATCACTGAAGGAGAAAAAAATGTGGTAATGTGGAGGAATTCAAAGTCTGAGGCTAAAAATTCCTCTTCTGGGCAAACTGATTCCAGAAAACTTAAGCAACAGAGCTAGGCAGGGCTCCTCTGTTGTCACTGTTTTGTTTGGTTGATAAAGTTCTGGCTCCCAGAGGAAAGGGATTGAACTTTATTCAGCGCCTGCCTCAGCCTTTCACTGTATTGCTGCTTTGATAACCAAGTTCTAAAAGTTTTCCATTGCTAATGCGAGAGTGTTAGTATATGTCACCGTTTGACTCGGGTCCAACAACAATGCTCTCAATCCCCTCCCCCTCCCACCCAGGTAGGGAAGGAGAGAGATAAAAAGAGAGACTTGGCTGGATTGAAAACTAAACTACACAGCTTTAATTAAAACACTAATGAATCATACAAGAAAATATATACAATTATATACAGATATATTCAGGTATGGGCAAAAACCTCTTGCCTCCCGCCACCCCAGCAACTCCCACAGCACTTCCCTGAACTGGGAAGAGTCCCGAGGAATCCCGGAGCTGCTGCTGGAGAAAGCAGAGAGTTATGGGGGTCAGAGAACTCGAGCCTAAGGGTCGACGATGATGGATGAACGGAGTCCTCCCTGGACACCGCCCATGGACGGAAGAGAAGGGAGAAGAAGAAGGAAGGAAGTTGTCTTCTGTGATCTCTGACCTTCCTTTGAGCTTATGTAGATATATGGAATGGAATATCTTTGGCCAATTTTGCTGTCTGTCTAACTCAGCCTCCTACAGGGGGGTCACAGATCTCCCCATAGTGTCTGAGCCGGCAGAGTGCAGGTGCAGCCTTGAAGCCTCAGTAGTTAGAAAAACATTCCAGTGTCTTATCAGCCTAGCAGAACACACTGTTGCTAGTTACAAGAAAGCTTACTGAAGGAAAAAAAAAATCACTAGAAAGAAAAATTGGCTTCATCCTGGCTCAAACCAGGACAGTATATAATAGGGGTTATAAACAACATCTGTATGTTGGTGTATTTGAGGTCTTTGTTGGTCTGCCTCACATGCAGTTTTCTGTTCAATCTGCTGTTTCAAGTTTTTCTGTCTACAGTGGTTGAATACAGATGAATGGAGATGAGAGACAAGGGTAAGGAGCTGGAAACTGACAGGAAGGAATGATCAATCTCAGAAAGTCCCAAAAGTAAAGATCAAGACTTGAAACCAAAAAGAAGTGGGCAGGACTGAAAGGAGGTCACAGCATGAAACGAAAGCGAGAAGAGATTGCTCAGATTGAAAAGGCAGGTCTACATTGTACTTAACAAGTGGTCTTGGTTAGAGTCTCCCACTCACACCGTGGTTTCACATAGGGGCTGCAGAAATTGTACTGGGTGGTTTGTTTGGTCAGGTTTAATGATGTTCTAAGCTATTTAATGCTCAAAAAAGATAAACAGAACAGAATTGAATTGAATTCAGTGGTGTTGGGAGATGACTACTTATTTTCTAAAGGTCTATGCGGTAAGTTCAAGGAGTACTGTTGAGTGAATGTGACTAATACATAATTTCCTAAAAAAACCCCAACCAAATACTAAAAATAAAAACTAAAAACCAGCAATGGAAAACAAGAGCCAAGTTAGATTCAGCTATTTAGATGGAAGGACTCCATCTAAGGAGATCATAAGCTCTCCAGAGCTCACCTTGCCTTAGGAGTCTTCCTACCTCTGATGTGCCCTCACCTCATCTGACTCCTGTGTGGAGCAGGGTGTAGGAGGGTGCTGTCTGTGTGCTTGGTGCTGTGCAGTGGATCCCAGCTGATGCAATGAGGGCAGGGCTGCCCTTCAGGGTGACCTTGGCAGGCTGAAGAAATGGGCTGGCAGGGACCTCATGAAATTCAGCAGAGGGCAACATCCTGCACCTGGGGACTAACCCATTGCATGTCTAGTGCCAGCTGGGCAAGCCCTTGAACTATCTTATCTAACTTTGGAGCTACCCAGGTTTTGGGTGCAGTTTGGACTCATAGGCCTTTCAGCTTTCACTTTTTTGGGGGAGTTATTTTCAAGTCTGGTAATGGAAATCATTTTCTGTTGTTTGTTTGTGTGTTTGTTTTTTTAATGCGTTTGAAGATGTTTTGGGGCAGTTTTGTAGTTTTATTTGCATAGTCATAATATTAGCAGCATGGTGATATGTTTGATTTTTGTTGTTGGCTCTCCCCTCCATATCTATTACAAACAAATGCAGTTTTCCCTAGAAAGAAAGTGACTGCTCTTGAGTGGTCTTTCCCATCTAACATCATTCAGTGGATTCTTGGCGTATAATTACAACTAGAAACGCCAATGGGATAAAATATATTAATCTCAAGGGAGTTATTTTGCAGTGGCCATCAATCTATCCTTTCTGTCACGTGCTTTTCAGTTTAGATTGCTCTCAAGCAAAGAGGTTGGAATTTTGTCTCAATTCATTATGATTATACATATCTTGGATAGAACAATGTAACAAACAGCCACTTAAAAATGACTGATGGTCTCGTTCAGCAAGGCAGGGAGACCATGAAGTTCTTTTGGTTTCGCCTATTGTATAGCATTTATCAAGATGGGTCCCTTAACAGTCAGTTGGTGGTTGATATTTAATGAGTATTTCACAGTGTAAGCAGATACCCAGGTAGTTTGTTATCTGGAACCTGGGTTGTATTCGTGGGATAGACTTGCTTTTGCTAGGACTGAAAAATGTAAAA